GGGCTGATCCGGGATCATCAAATTTTAACAATTTGATTGGTTAATTATAACGTAATCTGCCCCGCTTTAAGGGACCCCCAAAATTAGCAAAATTCCGAAATATTCCGAAACTTGTGGCAAAGATATTGAATTAGTCCATGTCTATGTCCAAATTGTATTGTTGACCTGTGTAGCTCAAAAAAAATAATAAATAAAAATAAATAAATAAGTAAGAATATTCGATTTAGTGAATCACCCTATCGCTATAAACCTCATTGGCAGGATATAAAATCAATGTGCACAATGTGTTCAGTGCACTTTTATTTAAATATAAAATTTACCTTGTGCACATGTTTGTGCATATGTTTTGTAACTCAAATTTTATACACTGTTCATTGATTAAAGTACACAGATGCGTGAAAATAATTTTAAAATACTATTTATACAATCATGTGACAACAATTACATGTGATTTTTAACTTTCCACTAAGTAAAAATCGGGTCACACCGGGTACTATATATAGCACTGTACGTATGTACGGTAACAGGTAGCTAATTATTATTACGGCACAATGGGACTCGTACAGGTAAGCCGTAGTCATAATTCAAAAATCCATTATTTAGTGTCTTTAGAATGACACATGCGCAGGCAGTGCAATAAATTACCATGCAATCTGCGAGTAGGGCTCTGCAAGTTCTGGCATGCGTACTACTAAAACAAAGTGCCCATGCTCATGCCTGGCATTATGTTTTAATAGAGCACATGCCGGCCCCACTTGCGAGGATTTTTGAGAACCAGCGCAGGATATCAAATAGACCGGGGTAAAATCGCCATCTAAAAATCGAATAACATATGATTATGTGATAAGATTCATTTAATTTAAAATAATAAACCAAATGAACATTTTATAAAATGAATATAATAAAGAAATAGCATTAATCGTTTACCGATACTTGGTTGTATTTAATATAGATTTTATTATGATAATGTAAGGCAGCTCACATGAAATTGATTTGCCCACCTCCTGCTACTGTACGTACGTACGTGTGTTTATATGTGTGAAACCGTGCGAATCTCTGCCAATAACAGTAACGTATGCCAATTTTGTTAAAATTCATACAGCATAGCCATGTATTTCGACTTTATTTATAAATTTTATAATTTTGTTAAAAAAGTTCGTATTGTATAGCATATACTTTTGACCTTAATATTCTTAAAATAAATCCGACTAAGAAAGAATGATCAGCCATAGAATATTCTATTTATATTTCTATAAAATAATTAAACCCAACGAAGATAAAATAATTAAACCCAAAAAAGTCTCTTAAAAAAGCTTATGTAATCTACGGAAAAACATAATGAATCTTAAAATTCCTTAATATAATAGTCTTGGCAAAAAACATATGGGAGGGTTTCTTTTTTTTCTTAAAATTAATAGTAATAGTCGGGACCCATTCCGTAAGTTAACAAATCTTCACTCATATCATGTTGATATATAGTCGAATCGAATAAGTCGGCAAAGGCTGGTCTTTCCTGAGATGTTTTATGATCGTAGCGATAGGCGAAATGATCCAAAGAGATCATGTTTTGAAAATCGAAGGTTCCAATTAAGTTATCTTCGGGAAGAGCCGAAATCCCAAGTTCACCAATGAACGGCTGGTTGTCACATGCAATATTGTTATCAATTCGTGACGCATTTGGTAAATTAAAGCTTTGTGAGGAAATTTCCGGATGATTCTCAAAATTTTCATGCAAATCATCATTAGAATTCATTGATAAATTAGGAATTGAAAATATATCTTGATTTGTCCAATCATCAAACAAGTTAAGGTTAATATTTGGTGAATTAGTTTCGGTTAAACCACCAATTTCGAGCTTCGAAGTAGAAGATTTAGGATCTTTTTTAGGTTTTGTGGACTTATTAACTGATCTTATAGGTTTATTCATTCTAATCTTACGAGTATATGGTTTGTTAAACAAAATAGTTTTCCATCTATTTCTCTTGCTTTCATTCTTAAGTTTAGGACATAATTTATTACGATAATTAAAAGCTTCCCTTGCGATTCTTCTATATTCTTCTTTAACATCATCTGATTCTTGCTCCCATGATTTAGATGCTATTGAAGAAATAGCACTCATTGGTAAGCTATAAACTGATGCAGCTTTAACAAATAATTTTCTATAAATTATAAATGCATTGGGAGCTCTTGGAACGTGACCATCCGGACGTAAAACGATTAAATCGCAAGGATTGATCATGGGCGGGAATGGAAGCTTTATTAATTTTTGCACATCATTGATTACTTGATTTTGATTAAAGCAATCATTGCTAGAATTAATGAAAACGCAAGTATTAGGAGTTTTTTCAACGATTGAAATCATTGATTGAAATTTCACTGATTTGATTTCTTCGACTTTTTTGTCCATTAAATATTTTTAGCATATTTCAATTATTTTTAGCAATCTTGGGACTAACCAAAATACTTTAGCAAAAATTCTTAATTGCATTTTTCCTATTTTAACATAAATTGAAATTGAAATACACAAAATTATAAATTCATAAAGAATTCATGACGTATTAAAGCCATTATCCTCTTTTTAAGTTTCCATTACAGTTGATTATAGTGACTTAATTTATGATTGTTTGCATTACGATAGGAATAACGTATTTCTTATGAGATGCATTACATTTATATATTTAATATATGTAAAATACTTGATTTAGATAAAAATTTATTCAAATAGCTTTGTAAATGTAACATTAAGCCAGTATTAGTTTGAAAAATTTAAAAGATTTTAAACTGTCATAAATGGAATAATTAAAAAGAAGCTGGCCACAATGTAACTATGCCCCGATCTCATTCAAAAATCTAGATTTCCTAAGCAATAACTGTACTCTATACTAGAGGTTTTAAATTGGTAAAATTGGTGGAATATAACTTTTGTGTACGGTCATTCACTAATGGAAATTCCAAAAGATTATGAAAAAGTAAATGGTGTTATATAACAAGTAAAAAAAAACCATAAAAAAATTATTTGTGTGACGATGTCTTTGAAAAATTTTACAAATATTGTTTGTGTAACGATGCCTTTATAGGAAAAAAATAAAAAAAAAACTTACAACAAAGATTATTGTGTAGCGAATGTCTTTATAAAAAAAAAAAAAAACAACTTACAAATTATTTGTGTAGTGAATGTCAAATCATACGTTTTTTCGTGGAACGAACGTTTTTAAGAAAAATAAAATGTATTGAACTTTTCTTATCGTTGGTGTGATGATTTTATTGGGGATGTTACATTCCGAGTCAGTCCGGGTCTTGATACGGTCCTAATAGAGGACCATGGACCATCCTAATTCGATTTGGTCTTGGCATTAGAGGTTTTGGAACAGTTTTTAAATATAGTGGAAGACTATATTGCATAAGATAGCACTTATTGCCAAATTAATTCAAGTAAAAATAGAACTATGTCATGAACTTGAATTTCTTTATTCCATATAATAGAAAACTCCTACATTCATTACTAATATAGCGTGTTTGTGTACATTGGGACCATTGATTAGACTGTGAATTAAAATTGAGGCTTAACAGCAGTAATCCGAATATGGAATTTTACTAACTGGTCAGGAATCCTTTTTTTTTTTGCGGACGACATTATGTGAGTATAACAGATCGACGGAATCGACGGATTAAATAGCCTATTTTAAAAATAATTGCACATTGGGATTTACGTTTTATTTTGAGGGTATTGTTGCGCATGTATTGTTATCTACATAAAATTAAATAATTGCTGAACAAAAATAACCTGACTTATACCCTGGTCACTATATCAAGATCGCAGGGCATAAATCAGTTATGTCCTGGGCACTATGTGATAAGCGGGACTTTCAGCCCCGCTTATACCCAACTGCCCAGGAAATAACTATTACTAATTCGATAATTCGGATTAAATATGGATATCCTTATCCGTCAATTTTAAACGGATAGATCCGTAATATATTTCGGATTGAGGATGAGGATTATTCAGAACATAATCCTTACTAGATTAACACATGATATACTGCACCTGCCATGATTCTGATTAGTCGATGCTGATGGACGAACCGAACGACCATACTACGCATCATCATAGACCGTCTTTTGTGTATGGTCACCCTACTATGGTGTATGTGTATACTCATATACCGGATTACCTTAGCACATCGATAGAAGATCGATACTTGATTTACATACGTACGTGCTTATTGTTTACTAAAAACAATTACACGCCTAATTGTTACAAGTGCAGCTGGTATAATGAGTATACACGGTATATACCAAAAAAAATTTTCCAAAAAAAATTTTTTTTTTATTATAAAAAATTTGGTGTTCTCTATAATGAAACGAACCTTTTTTTCTACCAGCGATTCGATCAATGATTTTTCCGGATTGAATTCGAATTATAGCCGGAAGAGAATCCGGATAGTCCTGAAATAGGATCGAAGCTAATTAAAAATAAATGAGAATTTAAATAAAATTTCTTCGGATTAAATCAATTATAGACGATCCCTTCTATTTTGCACAAGGCGTGACGAATCATTTTATGTGACGAATAAGAATTAACTAACATAATTAATTAGCCAATGCTTATTTATTCGTCACGCTTCTGTGCCAAATGTAAGGGTCACCTATAATTGATTTAGGGTGTTCTCAAGTACGTACGTACCTCGCTCAGTGGATCTGGAGGAAATTTTTAATTGAGCGTTATCATGATCATTATTTTTAATCAATTAATTGAAATGCTTGAGAACGGGTTTACTAATTTCTCCGCACTTCCCCGTTTTCCATTGGACGAATCAATTACATCATTAATCAGGGTGGCTAAAAAATTTCATGTAGCCATTGCAATTAAAGAATAAATTACTTCTCAAATATTATTTTCGCGAAGATTACATCTATCTATATCTATAATATTCAGTGTTGGCACCAGACCACTTTGACCAATTTGACCAGTTGATCAAAGGGTTTAGTATGCGTATACTTATTTCTGCAAGTGATACAAACCCAAAAAAAGAAAAATTTCTATGTAGATCGCAGGATCAGGTGTAACCTTTGTGTAACGTGAAATCGAAGGCTTTTTCAAAAAATCACCAGTAACGCAAAATTTTGCTTAAGAAATTGCCTTTTATGCACTAATTAAAAAAAATTCCTAGCTAAATTTTACTATATAGCTCGCCTTAACGCAGCTCTAACCCCAACCCTAATGCCGGTCTAATTTCACGCGTTATTAGCGAAAATAACAACAAATAAATATTTATTATTGTCACATGATTTGTATCACTTGCAGAAATAAGTAAATCCGGTTTAGTATTGGTCAATTGGTCAAAGGATATTTAAATATATAGTATACATACTGTATACATATTTATTTATCTATTTACTAAATTTATTTATTTAATAGACCATTTGACCAATTTGACTGGACCAGTTTGACCAACGAATTTTTGGTCGACCAGTGTCTGTCCAGAATGAACCGAATCTGATTGGCCAATATTCGTGTAACATAAATGTTTTTATTGCTATATAATCTGTGCTACAGTAACCATATGCATAACTACTTTCGTCACGACTTAACTTTTAATACAGAAGTATGGACGTAAGGACGTGTTCTTAGACTAGTTATTAAAATTTTAACTGTGTCCGGAATAAAACGAATCTGATTGGTTAGTTATAGGCATCGTGACTTGTGTTACCTGATGATAATTTTTACTATTAGCATATAACGTTCAAGGATTGAGATTGTAATATCTTATGTACAGTTAATTAATAAAAACAATTAAAACCATGTGACAACTAATCGTGACTAATTTATAGTCTTGAAACTAATAATTTTGGGTTTCGATTTTTCGATTCCATAAAACGTCCCGCAAAAAATTGCTCGTCTCCTGTAATATTGGCCAATCGAATTTCAGGTGTAACGTAAAAAAAAAAGTTCCTTGTGGAATTTTACCAATAGGCACTGCATTATTTCAATTCAAGTTCAAATTACGGTCCTAACAGATAAAATCAGTATAATTTTTTATTTTTCCTAACAATGAGTAGCAATGAAAATTTTATTGCTTCCATTTTTCAATATTTTTGATATACAGTAATATTAATATAAGTGTTCGTTAATAAGTATTTTAATGTTCTGTCTGTCACTTTTAACAGATTTGATTGGCCAATTATAGGTTCTGTAATCTATTCGTCTGTTGGTATTTGTTTTAGGTTTGTTGATTTCGTTCTCTTATTTTAAACTCCTAAAAAAGAACGAATTATATTTTAATTTACACAGATCAGTATACAGTATGGGATATAAAATTTGTATCATGCTGATCCGGTGTTATATATTACTGTATTAGGTTTAGAAATTATCGGTATAGCGTATTATGTATATATGATTATACTGATCTTCTGTAATCCCAAATTTATTATCAAAAACATATTACATAAGAAACAGGCTTTTGTCATAGCCAAGAAGATTCTCAAGATTTAATAACGATCTACTTACCTATTGATTTAAACTATGCTTAAAAGGCGATAACAAAATTTTATGGAAGCTAGTTTTAGACACGTGTACAAACTTTTTGCACAACGTTCTCTTTGTATTTCAATAATTTCAATAGGTTTACATGCACATTTAAACTAATGCAAATTATATTTTCTAAATTAGTATCTAGAAAAATTTTAAATTATAATTTACGTATGGTATAATATGTTAATAGCATTTAAATTATTAAAAAAATATATCAAACAAAATTAAATGAATAATAAATTGGGAGTAAACCATACTTCGAGCTTTCTATTTTATAATTAATTTTTACCGGATTTGGGGATTGTTTAAAGCCAGGCATATATATCGTAATATATATGCGTCACGTGCTTTTACTTTACAAATTTGTTAGTAATCTACCTCTGGATTTGGCCTTTAAAAAACCTATACATGGGTGCCTAAATTCAGAACAAATTATGGCATCACGACATGCTGATATTTTTTATACAGAAAGACCTCTCTAAATGCACCCAGGGACAGTGATTTTCTGTGGTGGTTAAGGCTAAATTCTGTATGTGGTTAAGATAAATTCTGTGATTTAATGTGATAACTTTTTTAAAAAAATTCTGTGCAATCCCGTAAATTTTGTGCAATTCTGTGGTAGGGATGATAAAATTCTGTGATTTAATGTGATGATTTTTTTTAAAAAATTCTGTGCAATCCCGTAAATTATGTATTTATTATC